TTAATATCTCCTCGTACTTGCACAAGAAGAAGAGGAAGAAGACGACATACTTAATAAAATTCAATGGAGTCACACTCTCCACAATATACAAATTTTAAGTCTGAATTAAATTCACCGATAATCCTCTTTAAAAAACTTACTATTGCAACTTTGGTATCGGCCTGAATTTCCTTTCTCGTCTTTGTACGAGTTGCAATAAACATTTCAGACTGTGATGGTTCCTCCTTGTTTTCTTTTGCTACACGCTACCAATTATATCAAAAGAAATTTAAAAAAATCAACATGTTCTAATAAAGTATGAAAAAAAGAAATTCACCTCTGCGTATTACCAATGCCATGCGTACTCTTGCAAAATTAATCGGTCCCATTCGATGCCTCCACTGTTGTTGTTTCCTATTTTTAGAATTCACCTCAGATATGGCCTGTAATTAAATAAAAAAAGATGTTTGAATTGATAAATCAAAAAGAAAAGAACATATATGATGCAAAATATGTCAAAGAGTAGAAATGCACTATTTTAGCTTTACTTGAACAGTTGGGTGTTTCCAATACTCGATCAACTGGCGGAATTGAACTTCTGGAATGTCATCAGGACGTTTCGCTAGAATATCCTCAACAATACTATTTTTATCAAAAAATCTCTCTTTAACTTTTAATTTGTGTCGCCTCCAAGCATCCCGAAGACCAGTCATAACCCACTTCTTTCCTTCTACTGGAATTAGGAATTTGGACTATGCAAAATAAAATATATTTAGCTTCATTAGTAAAAACAAACAATAAAATATGCAATCTCAAAATTGATTGTTCTTACATTGATATATTCCCACATGCGCTTTTTAATATCTTTTGGTAGCACATGCCAACTAGTGTACATCAAGTTGATGAATCTAGGATTTCTTGCAATTATTCCGATAAAATTGGTTAATTATGACACGATCTTACCGGTTCGTCCCACTGCTTGACTTTATCAAATGTCACCTTCTCCCTTTTTCCAAATTTCTTGCATGGATATTCTTACATGTTGTTTGTCCTAAAACCTTTTTCAACTTCGATATACCTAGATTGATGTAACAACCAGGAGATAAGAAATTTCTTTTATAATGAGTAATAAATCTTACAAGCTTTAAGACATACCTTTTGTACTACAATCAATGTCAACTTCCTCGTCTAGAGAACACTCATCCTCGCCAATTTCTTCTTGATCCTCAAGATCATCCAATCTTTTATTATGTTCATGAATAGAAGGAGCAGACATATACTCGACATCAGCTACTGTGTGGTTAACCTGTTTTCTTTCATCACCTATGACTATCCCTTGTTGTTTCTGAAACTGATCAAGACTAGTAGCTGGTATGACTGACTTCTTCTTTACCTATTTTATGTTTGGTAGATCATGATCAAGATCATGTTCTTTGTGTTGTTTTTTCAGAAACTGATCAACACTAGTGGCCGGTAGGATCAACTTTCTCTTCACTTGTTTGAAGCTTAGTAGATCCTGAATATCATGTTGTTCTTCTTCATTACCTAGTGTTGTTCCAGTCACATGTACAGAAGCAGTAACACCTTCCTTGGAATAGAAAGTTTAATTCCCTTCTCTTGAATGGACTCTCTTGATTGAAATAACCTCGATTTATTCTGTCCTTTCCTTGCAATCATATGTGAAGTACTAAGCCCTTTCCTAGAAGATGATTGAATCACTGATTTGTGCCCATACAAACTACTCTTTCCTTGTGGTTGGATGAAATCCTCGGAATTCTTTCTTTTATGTGCTATTGGTGCATGCTCTTTCTTAGATTTATTATTGCGTTCATTTGCAATATGTTCTCTCTTAATCTCAAATGTGTTGACCAATTCAGCACTTGATCGGTATTGTATATCAGCATCCAGATTCTTCAATGGACTTTGAGCTTTGTTTGGATTCGAACCCTTTTTCTTTAGTATTGCTAATTGATTTATTTTTCTCGCTTTGTTTTAATCTCTTTGATTTCTTTCCCTGTAGTAAGTAAACCTACAAAATATTAAGGTTTTTTAAGTGAAAAATGTAGCAGCAATATAATTTTGATATAAGGTTGACAGATGACTATAGGCAACACTGCTTGGAGTTCTATTGATGAAGTAAAAAGATGCTAAAACACCAATTGATACCAGAACTTTACTACATATACTGATTTATAGCAACTGTTTAGCATAGTCATTAGTACTCTTGGATCCATTCTGATAACTCCTAGTAGATCGTGGTACATTAGTGTTCAAGCCATATGTGAAGGTTCCTTGAGCTTGCATTTCAGTACCTGGTACATACGTTTGCACATATATCACATCATATGCAGCCTAGATGCCTCACTATAAGTTTTTTTCTTAGACTTGAAGTCAGGTGGATAGCTTATTAATTGAAACATTGTCCTTCCTATGTCATGTGCATCTGCAGAACTCACACACCAAATTGAAGTTTTTTTTAATCTTCGATTTCTACCATAACTACCATGAAGATTACCAGTGTTACTACAAGATTGTCCACAAATTCTGAGTGCAGGCAGTTATAGAAGAGCTCAACTCTTTCCAGAATTTCCAGCACTATATTATAGCAGATTACAGCAGTTATATAAGAGTAATTGATAATAGCAGATTGCAGTAGCTGAGTTTTCAGAATTTCCAGAATTTCAAGAATTTCCAAATAGCATTTGAGAATAATCAGACGGAGATATACAACGACTAAGTTAAAAGATGCTGAAAAGAGAACTGAGCCACACTTGGAGAGAAAGGTAAACAACCAGATTTTACAGCCCCATTTCGAGAACCCGGAACACATAGCAAGCACACTTAAAATCGCGACTGAATGAACTACATACCATCTTGAACAAACTAGAAGGAGACTCCGTTAACTTTAAGAAAACAGATAAAATCACAACAACTAAGAAACTGATACAAACTACTAGCTCACTATTTCAGTCACAACAACGCGTAACACTCTTGGTCTGAAACAAACAAGGAAAAATTAAAGGTAAAGAGATGTACCTCTCTCGGAGCGACGAACTCGGGACAACGATGAAACCAGGAGCTACTTTAAACTGCAGGGCTCATTATTCTGCCTCTAATGCCCACTACCTGATAATAAAAGGAAACAAATAAGTATATCAATAACAAACATCCAAATAAAACAATATTCAGCTAGAAGTACAGGTTCCTCAATAAAATAATAATCAGATAAGAAGGCAACATAAATTACTTAACCAAACAACAATTGGGAGCATGAAAAAGCCAATAGAATACCTAAACATTATAGCGATCTAATCTTCAATTCCACATATTAGATATCTTAATGTGTTTGTACCAAAAAAAATAATTAAATTACAAAAACAGTAAGTGAGCACTATATGGTCATCACAAAAATAATGAAAATGATGGTGCGTCATCTTCAAACTCTTCTTCAGACTCATCTTCAAGCTCATCTGCAGACTCATCTTCATACTCATTTTCAGACTCATCTTCAGACTCATTTTTAGACTCATCTTCAAACTCGTCTTCAAACTCATCTGTAGATTCATCTTCAAACTCCTCTTCATACTCGACTTCAAGTTGTTAAGTAACAAATTCCTCCGAAGGCACATAAATAATTGTTTCTGGTACATCAGTTCTTGTTAAGAGTACTTCACCATTATCTTTTGGTATAGATGGTCCCATCAAATGTTCAAATGGCTCATTTTCATAACTTTGTGGGAGATTAGATTCAACTTCATTACCCATGTTAAACTAGTCTCTCGGAATAATCTTCATAACATAATGTCTATCTTGATCATATGGATCTTGCACATAGAAGCATTGGTGTACTTGAGATCCAAGCACAAAAGGCTCTTCCTGAGAGCTTCTCTTGTTAAAATAGACATAAGTAAGGCCATACGCATCATTTTCAACCTCATACCAATCGCACTTAAATAGAACAACCTTAAAATGACCGTAATAGTCTAATTCAACAATATCAACTATTCTGCCATAATAAGTCAAATCTGCAGCAATCGAATTCTTATCCTTTTAGCTTGCAAAGCTTGTAGTTGAGGCAACTAGTGTAACACCACTATTTTGTGTTTTACGCCTTGCATCATGCTGCCTAACATGAAATCTATATCCATTCATGAGATACCCAGAATATCTTTTTGCAACAGAATTTGGTCCTCTAGACAATTGTTTTATCAAATCAGGCACATCCTTTTGCAAAGCACGAGTTTCAAACCATTGAGAGAAGTTTTGACAATGATTCTTGGACTTGCTCCATTTTGATCTTCGTGGCTGATTATTAACCTCTTGCTCGTGCTCTCTACACAACATGTAGTTTTTGTTTGTTAAAATAATAAATAAGATAAGTTAAAAATTAATTATACAAAAAGAATACTATATTCAAATTAAGGTACCTAATATATTCTTGAACCTCATCACAATTTCCCAATAAGTATGCATGTGCCTGACTTAGTGACTTGTTATCTAAAATTAATGGATTAGTTTTCTTTGCTCCTAAAGGAACTCCTTTGTTAGGAAACAAACTCACAGTTTCTGCATCACTTGGGTCACATTCATCATTATTTCGGGCTCTTCTGTTAAATTTAGTATGCACACTCCCATGCAGATATATGGAGAATAAATTCATACAATCTATGCACACTCGTGTCTCTGCTATGCAACCTTCTGGATAACGTCTGTTGCAGATGTATGATTTGAATGTACCCATTTCTCTTTCAGTGAAATACATCCATCGATTTTGAACTGGACCTCCTAATCTCACTTCATTCACCAAATGAATCAATATATCAAAAAATAAAGGAGGAAAAATCCGCTCCAACTGATTTATTATTTCTATGATCTCTACTTCTAAGCAATCCAATTCCTCCAATGTGATTACTTTTTGACACAAACAACGGAAGAATGAACTAAGACGAATCAAAGGAATAGCCATATGATCAGGAAGAATGCTTTTAATTGGTATCTAGGTGTGTGCAAGCAACTTTCTTTTATGCAGGAAAGTCATTGATTGTCCACATAAGAGTTGTCCGCATTTGAAAAGTTTGATTTCTTGAAGCATCATATGTTTCAACCCCAGAATCCCACAATAATTTTAATTCATCTATCAATGGTTGTAAGTAAATATCAATGTCATTTCCAGGTGATCGCGACCCAGGTATAAGTAAAGAAAGTATACAATATTCAGATTTCATGCACATCCAAGGCGGCAAATTATACACCATCCACATAACTTGCCATGTGCTATGTGATATACTCATGGTTCGAAATGGATTGAACCCATCACTTGACAAGCCAAGTCTCACATTGCGACAATCTAGTGCGACATTTGGATGCAACCTATCAAAATCTTTCCATGCTAGACCATCAGTTGGATGCCTTAACTTTCCATCTTTAGAACGCTCCTCGTCATGCCACCTCAAAGAATCTGCCGTCTTTGAGTACATAAATAGCCTTTTGAGACTAGGAATTAATAGAAAGCGTCTCAAAGACTTTGCTGAAACTCGATGTTGTTTTTTTGAAGGCTCAAGCTCACTATCAACTTCAAGAGATTTAATATATTGTGAAGCTCCACAAGTATGACAAAATTCATCATCCTTGTGTTCACTCCTGAACAACATGTAATCATTGGAACATGCATCAATTTTCTCATAATCAAGACCAAGATTCTTAACCATAGACTTGGTTTTATTGTAAGATGGAGGAATGTTCAACTCGGGCATCGCCTCTTTTAATAATTCTAAAAGAGAAGTGAATGATTCATTGCTCCATCCATGTAGACACTTCAACAAATATAAACGAAGTGTGAATGATAATTTAGAGAATCATGTACAACCAAGATATAATTCTTGGCTTGCCTCTTCAACTAAGTTATAGAATTTATTGGCATCTTCATTTGCACCATCATAAACTCCTTCATCCTGTGCAACATCTCTAAATTGATCATTCAACAACCCATTAATATCTTCATGCGAGCAATCCATATCATTGTCAACATTCAACTTGATATCCCATTCCCCGTGATTGATCCATCTAGTATAGCCTTTAACAAATCCATAGCCTATTAGATGATCATACACTACCTTCTTTCGAGTCCAACAAATATTACAACATTTTGCACATGGACACTGAATTTCTTCTCCTTGAGGATCTCCATAAAAGTAAGCAAAATCTAGGAATGATTCAACACCATCAATATACTCTTTGCTATACCTTGCTAACTTCATCCAATCCTTGGATGGGATATTTGAATTCCTAGAAGAAGATATCAATATTTAATCTTTTGGTAACAATCATTAAATCTTTAACTACTTCACCAATAAGTTTTAAAAGTCACGAGTAAGTTATAAAAATTATGTGTTATGAGATGATAAAAGTTTCTTACCTAGTCATGGCACTTGTGTTATGCCAAATCAAACCTTAAAATTAATAGGATAGACATAATTAAGAAAGAAAGTAAATAAATGGAATTCAAATGATTAAAAGTAAGTTTTAATTTTGTAGCTCATGCTACTTTCCTTTATTTAATTTACTTCAAAGTGTTATCTAAAGTAAAATATTTTTTCAAATGTTGTCTTCAAGGTAGAAGTCACGGGCAATGAGGTGCATGCCTTAGCTCCTATATATTAAAGTACTGCTTAAAGGAGGCATAGCATAAAACCTATTTTTCACATAGTCTCAGGGAATAATCATGCCTCAAGACTCAAGAGAGCCTTTGACAGCTTAGTTGAAAATGGTGTCGGCAGCTCAGACACATTGCATCATCACATTGCTTCAATAGTCTACTTAGATGTTCCATTGCTAAAACAAACAAGAATGGGGACAATAGATCTCCTTGTCTCAAGCCTTTCTTAACTTCAAAAGTCTTAGATTGACAATGGATCATCCAACAATTTTTGAAATGTGTTGTCTTAGTAATACAACAGTTTCCAAATTTCAAACTGTATTGTGACACAATGATTTTCAAAATTTTCTCTATATCATCGATACAACAATAGATACAAAGCGAACTATTGTATCAGTGATACAAAACGAACTTCAGAAACTTTTGTATCAATAATACATAGAGAATTTCAAAATTGTTGTATCACTTATACATGGCAAATTTTAGAAACTCTCACTATGTTAGGTTATCTTTTTAGAACTCTCACCATGTTTGATAAATATAGTGTATAAGTTTATCTAGTTAGGTAATTAGTACACCAAAAGTATCCACAAAACTTGTGGTCTTAAACATATCCAAACAATTGTATAGCTATAAGAACGTATTAGTAAGGATAAGTAGCCATGGTATCAGTACAGCTATCCCCTCTCACAATCTATTCTTGATTTTGTCCAAATTCTAAACTTTTATTGGGGAATGACTTAGGTTAAGGATATGGCTAAGTTTACAAGTAGTCATCATATTCTCCTCTATAGTTTCCCAGTCTTTAAGTGTCAAAATCAAATGATCATTGTTGAAAAACATTTCCCATTCGAGGAACATTTTGAAGATTTCGCAGAGAAATATGTAATCGAGGTTTATTGGTTTGACAATAGATAACTACCATCAAGATATGGAGTTGCTCTAAGTAAAGGAATTAAAAGCAGAACATTAGGGTGGCAATAGCATTGAAGCTTCATACCTTTTCCCTGTGACAGAGGAGTTCTAAAATTCATGCTCAAACAGCATAGCCAGCTTCCTCTAACCTATTTTCCAGAAAATCATTATTATCTACAAGAATGTGTACACAAATACACTATGAAATTTGTGGCAGTGGCGAAATCTTACGGGAAAAACTATACTAAACTTAAAAGGGCAAAAAAATCTAAGCTCAAGTTGGGAAAGATTCTGCTTATCCTTTAGTACTTTGCCATCATCCTCTAACATATTGACAAAAATAATGAGGATAAAAAGGAATGGGTACTTACGCTAGACGAAATCTTCAGCTCAGGTAATCTCAGATCTTCAATTCAACTCTTTAGTTCAGGGAGAAGAGAATCGTAGGTATCGAAGAAATCTTCATCTCAACTCTTCAATTCTTCAGCTTCCGCTCTTTAGTTCTTCGATCTCTAGTTCTTCAACTTTAGCTCTTCAGATCTTCAGAGAAAAGCATATGTTCTGGAGAGAGAGAAAAGTGATACTTACTAGTACTCTCATTCACTCAAAACAGTATACTTAGTATACTCATTCACTCAAAACATATTACCAGTATACTAATTCACTCAAAACATCTTCCATATTAAAATAAATACTTGAATCTAATTCAACACCAAAAACTATATCACGAGAAACTCAAGTTCGTATAAGTAGACCATCAGTCAGTATTTTATGAAATTCAGCAAGTATAGTTTAATAATTATACAAGCCTGAGCCAGATCAGATGCTTCTGATTTGATTATAATTTGCAGAGAGTTTAAGTATTAGTCAACAATTCATTATTTGGTTGCAAATAGTCACCTATGCAACTTGTTTTCCCAATTTGTATTAGTTACACAAAAATTCATGCAGACTTGAAACGTTGAAGCCAATTGAACCCTGATAATGACTTTCACAAACATGTGAATGCATACTTCAATATAAGCCTATTGTTAAAGGAAATAAAATTTAACAAAAGCAAAACATGTCCAAATTACTTCAAAAAATGTTTATGAATTAACAGAAACCTATATATAGTGAACCATCATTTCCAAATGTTCTGCATATTAATTTGATATTCACATCCTTATCAATCACATGGTAGTACGTACTGTAATGAAATCGTTGTACGGTCAACTATTCCCGAGGCATCAGCAACCAAAATTATGCAGGCCATAATGCAATAACATTACAACACACCTAGCAACTTGATCACTTCACTCTGATGCATTAACATGGCACTATACTACTGTTGAACATATATATTGCACTATTTAATTTATTGAACTTTATGACCAAAGCAATGTGAGTAAGCCCCCATAACACGATTGTGGGGATTACACTGGTTTGTTGTTGTTGTAATGGTAGCCAATATCCCAATATCATTCCTCAAGGTGGTTCTGTTTTCAGAATGTCTGGATTCCAGAATTTGTTGGATAGTAGGAGGAACTCTGAGCAGCATATATTAAATGCGGCTTAAACGTCGATGTTTTTGCAATTCTTGAAAATACACCTTGTATTCTTCCTTATTCTAGTGTTTTTCTTTTCCTTATTATACTTTTGCTGGCCTTTTGCAGAGCCTTCCCCTTTACACACTACTACGCTTGTGGACAAATGTATTGTCAAACTTGTAGATGAGTTCAACCACATGCTCTACCAAGCCACAGAGCCCTTGTCAACCTTTCTGGAATACATCAGGTAAATATTATTTGTGTTGCTGGGAAAGTTTGTTTCTTTACTCTATACCCACTTTTTAGTTTTGCCATGCATGATGCATGTAGAATTATCTTAGAGAAATACGATTACAACCTTATTCTTTCAATGAACGATGTTGGAATTTTACCTCTTTCATTAAAGAGCACATCTTTGTATAAATGAACTGAGAACTCATTTTACTACTACGTTAACATTTGTTATAATGTGTTGTATTAGACTAATGGACGTATAGCAGTTTGCAACACACCCTTAATGTCACACTTGCAATTTAAATATAACTTATTCCTTGTGAAAACTTCAGGGCAAGTGTTAGTTCAATCTAAATTACTCTTGCAGTCATTCTCATTCTTCTATAGAACTAGTAAATGAGAACACGTGTTTTCAAGTATACTTACCTTACATTACTAACTTAGTCTTCCTTGTTCATTTATTATATATGACTAGAAATCAATTGTTCTTATTTATATGAAAAAATTCCACCATGAAATTACCCCTCCTTGCATAGGCCATTCTCATCCCAACCCTTCTAGGCAGTGTGAGAAACTAACATCTTAAGCATGTTTTTAAGTAATCAACAGGAAAACAAGATAGATACTAACCGACTCAAATGCTTCTGAGTAATAATTCCCTCTTTCTCGTCAGCTGAATATGCCTAGGGCTCACTTTGTCGTTCACGATTTTGGCACTTTCTTCCCCTACTTTAGAATTTCAGTTGTAACAACCCCAAAGTAATCAATTCCTTCTAAACACAAAACAAAAATTCAATCAATTGACAAGAAGATTGTTTTTAGTACAATCTTAAGAACGAATAAGAAGGAATCTCGGCTGCTAAATCTTACACTTGACGAAATTGGTATTGGAGAAATCTTCAGCTCAACTCTTTAGTTCTTCAGCTTCCGCTCTTCAGTTCTTCGATCTTTAGTTCTTTGATCTTCAGTTATTTAGCTTCAGCTCTTCATCTCTTCACGAAAAGTGTGTTCTAGAGAAGAGAATCGTAGGTATCGGAGAAATCTTCATCGCAGTTCGTTGATCTTCAGTTCTTCAACTTCAGTTCTTCATCTTCAGCTCAGCTCTTCGATTAGTTCTAGAGAAACGTGTCTAGAGAAAGAGTAAAGCTGTCTGGAGAAAAGTGTGTTGGTGAAAAGTTTTTATGAATTATTAATGTTTTATTAAAGTATATTTTTTGGCCAATAAAAATGGGAGGGAGAGTTAAAAATATTGGAGGGAATATAATATTTTAGTGAAAATTTTACGGCCACACTTGTAATGTGTTGTTTTTACAATTATAAAAATAGGACACTTTAAAAGTGTGGCCATATATATAAATAGTTGTTGCCATTTATTTCATACTTTAATAACGCTTATAAAGTGTAGCCTATAACATTAAAGAGTACGCTTTAGAAGTGTTGCCAATATTATCGATGCCAAAAGTTAAAAAATTGGGCTACACTTTAAAAGCGTCCCCAAAAATATTTTAGGCAACACTTTACAAGTGTTGTCCAGATTTAGTGTGACTGTAGGCCTAAAATGTTGTAGTGGTAGGCTCCCAAAATGAGCAGCTTACTAGGTGATGGGGTGGTCTGTTGGGAGAATCGCCAACCCAATCGGCGACCCACGACCTAGCTCACCCTTTTTCCTAAAACCTAGGCAAGGGGACTGCCCACTAGGCGACCCCAAGTGCACTTTGGCACATCGCCAAGTCACTTGGTGATCATGCTGCCCAATCGCTAACTAGGTCCAAAGAGAAACAAGTTCTCCTTCACTCTCCCTTGGTAGTTTAGGTCCTTACATTCATCGTAGATGTTTAACTCCTTCATTTTAGCTTTAGTTTAGTCTAACCATCTCCGAAAAGTTACATTAATCTTCACATTTAGCTCTAGTTTAACCTACCAT